AAGAGCCTGTCATATTTTTCAAGTAGCATACTAGGAATTCGGTTGAAAAACACTATTTACTTATTTGGAGTTTTCATTTTAACAAAAGAAACATATACCAAGTGCAATCAAATGAGATGGTATAAAATTCTGAAAAGTAAACTAATTTAGGTTAGGGAGGGACAGTCAAGAAGGTTTTCTGTGTCCTAGCACAGAGGTTATGGCCTTTGCATTACATGCAGCCTACTGCAGCACCACGTGTGATTGCTTGAACACACCCAGAGTGATTCCTGAGCATAGAACCAGGAATAAGCCTTGAGCACCACTGAATGTGGCCCAGAATAAAGGAGAGGAGGAAGAGGAAGAGGAGGAGGAAGAGAAGGACTTCTACAGGAAAACAATCTTCAGAACTAAAATCTTTTAGCATTTTATGGCAGTGTATTTTGATCTTGCCAGTTGAGTACACAATAACTTTCCTTGTCCTTCAATGTTGACTTTGATAAACACATATCTGTAGTGACCAACTGCTTAGTAACTTCTTGTTTTTGCTTTGGGACCACCCTTATTGGTGCTCAGGGGCTACTCTTATCTCTGTATTTTGGTGTCATTCCTGGCAGTGCTCTGGGGATCAGCCACAGGCAAAGAAGTGCCTTAACCCCTTACTATCTCTCTGGCCCATTGTTATATTCTTGAAATGCTCTTGTTTTCCTTTCTTTTCTTTTATTGTCTTTTTTCCCTTTTGTTTTTTTGTGTGGACCAAACATGGTAGAGCTCAGGGCTTCCTCCTGGTGCTTGGCTCAGGGATCACACCTGGTAATGCTCAGGGAACCATCTGTGTTGCTGGGGTTTGAACCAGGGTTAGCTGCTTATCAGGCAGTACTATCTCTCCTGCCCTTAAAAACTTTTCAAATATTGGGTCAGGCACCAGAGAGACAGTGTAGCAAGCAGGGTGCTTGCCTTGCACATAGCTGACTGGGTTCATTTCTTGGCACCCCATATGGGTGATCCCTGAGCACTGCCAGATCGCAAACACTAGCCCCCCACCCCTTAAAAGGTCAAATGTTGGATCAAAACATGAGTTTTTTCTTTTTTGATAAGCTTTTATATTTTGGTTTATAAAATATTAGTAAACACAACAGATTGCATTTTCTTTTTTCTTTTTTTTAAATTTTTATTAGTGAAACAGCATGAGGTACAGTTGTAGACTTACAAATTTTTGTGCTTGGGTTTCAGTTATACAATGATCGAGTACCCATCCCTCCACCAGTGCCCATTCTCCACTACCACTAATCCCAGTATCTCTCCCACCCCCATCCCCCCATCCCACCCTGCCTCTGTGGCAGGGCACTCCCTTTTGTTCTCTCTCTCCTTTTGGGTGCTATGGTTTGCAAAAGAGGAATTGAGTCGCACAGATTGCATTTTCTGAGATGGCAAATGAGGCAGAGTGTATAATTTCCTTCAGTTCCTGAGAACCTCAGTCTCACCTGTCTTTTGGAGAGTCCATTGTCTTTTATGTCCGTGAGGATATAAAAAGTGCATGGGAGTAAAAAAAACATTACAGTGAGAATTAACTTTTTTCTTGTAGTCTAGTTTTCAGCACTTGATGGTGTGTTTCTTCTACAGGATCTGGCGGAAGGGATAGGTGTTGTGTGTTCATGTGGAGTGTCCAGACAGGACAGTGGAGTGGTAACCATCCTCCCATCAGATGTCAAAGCAAGGTCCACTTCACAATTACAATCATCTGGGAGAGAGAAGAACAGAGGTTTATGATTATAAACATTTTCAGGTTTCCATTCTGAACTAGAAATTAATATTTTAGGATAGTTCTGTTATTGCCCATTTGCTGCTAGTTCCATGGCAAATCCAGAAACTTTTTATTCCGTAATGCCTGCTCACTGCACTCTGCCTTCTTTCCTTCTAAGCTTTTTTTATTTTCCAGACAAAATGAATCTAATTTCTTTACAGGTATCATGGTTCTATAACAGATTATACAAAACTTTTATAGCATGGGAGCTGGAGCAATAGTACAGTGGATGGGGCACATTTACACATGGGATTCAAAAGGTCACAGAGATGATGGATTGATCCAAGAAACAAATTACTGGGATTTTACTGGGATTTTGATACAACTAGATTCTAATTCAGTAAGTTGGCAGTTACTGAGGTTTTACATTTCCAAGAAGTTCCCAGGTGATGCTGAGGCTGGTGATAAATTGAACACGTTTTGAGAAACAAGGTTTTAGAGAATGTAAAGATAAGGATTTAAGGTAAAAGCAAGAGGATGCGTATTTTCTTCTCTTTTTATGTGTGGGTTCTGCACTCTGTACCTCCTCTTAACTGGGGCTGACTCTAGCTAATCTAAATCAGTTAATTACCTTGCATTTTATATGAGACAGAGACATTGGCAGAGACAGCAAACTCTGCCAATCATTTGACTTAGAAAGCTTCTCTCCATCCAACCCCAAGAGATGGATTTCCTCTGTGTCACAGGATGCTGTGATAAGGCCCTCACCCACCTAACTGAGACTGTGATATGATCCCCCAGGCCCTTGGCCTCTGAGTGATAGGAAACCGACCTTGGCAGTGGGAGGTGTTCTTTTTGGCGTTTTGCCTCTATCGAACTGGTTTGTTTAACAGTTGGGCTCCAGGAATGGCTTCTGGAGCAAGTCTGTATCCTATGGTGTGTAATCAGGAACTGGCAGAAAATTTATCTTTAGCTTTCCAGATTCCAAGTAGGAATTCTCATAACTTGTAGGAGGCCTGGCAGTTGAGTGACCTACCTCTGACCTGTGAGCGGGGCCTGCCAGAGTGAAATGGAACTGTGTCCTTATTCTGTCTGCACGTTTCCCCTGATGATTTTTCTGTGGGTATCTTACTGACTCTTCCATTCTGCACACTTTCTTCTAGACTGCAGACAGGAAAGCAATTGCTATGGACAGTTTGTTCCTGAGTCTTACAACCAAAGCTAGAAAGAATTATTTCCCTGGCCTTCCTGGGGAACTTTCCTATGGAATTCCCCACACGATTGGATTGCAACAATGGCTTTTAGATTGAAGAGATCTGTCTCAGTACAAAGTAGGAAATGATGATGTCAGTCTGGTTAGGAGAAATTGGTAAATAACTGGGTAGAGTGATTTTTCTGCATATTTCCCCTGGGGCCGGGGGACCTGCATCCCTAGGTTTTTTTTGTTTATTTGCTTTTGAGTCACACCCAGCAGTGGTCAGGGTTTCATCCTGATGCTGTGCTTAGGGATCACTCCTGGCAGGGCTCAGGCAACCATATGGAATGCCAGGGATCATGTTGCAAGCCAAGTATTCTACCCACAGTACTATCTCTCTGGCACCAAGATTTTCTGGTTCTGCTCCATTGGAACAGAGCCTGGGAGCTTATAAGCTCTTCTTTCCATTTCATTTCTTCTAACAAGGTAGCATAAAAGGCAATCAGTGGGCTCAAGGAGGTGGCTCAGCTGGCTGTGTGCATGCTTTGCCATACAGGAGGCCTTGGGGTAGATCCCTGGCACCATTATAGCCCCAGTAGCCCAGAGCACTGGGAGTAACCCCTGAGCACTGCTAGGTATGGTCCAAACCCTACCCCCAAACACACACACACACACACACACACACACACACACACACACACACACAGAGGCAATCAGTGATAACCAGGGGTTGGGCATAGAAGTTTACAGTATCATGTGTATGTGTGTTTGGGGTATGTTTGGGGGGGGGGGGCAGGAATTGTATGACTGTATGTGGTGCTGGGGATCAAACTGGTGTCAACTGCATGCATGATAAGCACCTGACCCCTGTACTGTCTCTCCGGGGCCCTCAGGCACATGTGATGCTGATTTGTGACTGCCACCTTACCTCTAATCCTCCTTTCTCCTTTTTTTTCTTTCTTTACTTTTTAAGCAAACAAATCAGGGACTAAGGAGATAGTGCAGGCACTTGCCTATCATATGAGTTGCACCTTCAGCAGTGCCAGGAGTGATCCCAGAGCACAGAGCCAGGAAGTAAGCTCTGAACACGGCTAAGCATGTGCTCCATACACAAGCAAACCAACCCTGGTAGCCAGGATGCAGTGCATCTTCTCACCTGCTGAGAGATGCCTTGATTTACACTAGGTAGCCTAAATGTGCTATAGAAGGGAAGCCTAGGAAGAGAGGCAGCAGTGTAATAGATCTTTTTTCAAGATGATTCGTATTATTTATTCCCTTTTAAATTAATAAATTTTTAAAATGATTTTCTCGGTTGTTGTTGGTATGATGACACACATCTGCTTGGTTGTTCCTTACATGGGGCTGTGGTGCTAGCCAGGGTTTGCAACACCTTCGCTGCAATAGCTGCTGGTTGCTGAAAACTAAGATATGTGAGTGTGTGCGTGCGTGCGTTTGTGTGTGTGCGTAATGTGTAGGGGTCAGAGTGATAGTTCAACAGCAGACTGAGTGCATGCTTGGAATGTGAGAGACCCGGATTTTGATCATTGCACTTCATGTACTCATTTCCTGCACTGCCAGGAATGACCCTCTAACACCCAGCCTGGAGTAGCCCCTGAGCACTGCTGCTTGTGAACTCCAAACCAAAAACAAGTGGAAAAAAAGTTTTGTTGGGGAAAGGGAGGGGATAATCTGATTGATTGGTCTATATCCTCTCTCTGCTAAATCCTTTGGATGTACCTTAGCACTGTCCTCCCATTGTTCATCAGTTTGCTGGAGCAGGCACCAGTAACGTCTCATAACAAATTGTGAGGCTTATTGTTATTGTGTTTGGCATATCGAATACATGCCAGGCTTTGCTGTGCAGGCGAGATACTCTCCATAGCTTGTTGGGCTCTCCGAGAGGGGCGGAGGAATAGAACCTGGGTTGGCCATGTCAGCCACGTGCAAGGCAAAAGCCTTACCCACTGTGCTATTGCTCCAGCCCTTACTTTCATGAAATGCAGACTGTGGTTGATTTTTTGTTGTTGTTGTTAGTATATACTGTGTTACTGAAGGTGACCCATGTGATTCTTTCTCTTAAAGCTGTTCTGGTGCATCCCAGGAGAGGCAGAATGATATGGACCTTGGTCTTGGTGACCTTCCTTCCGATGAGGAGGAAGTCCTCAGCAGTTCTGATGAAGACGATGCCAGTTCTGGGTCCAGCAAAGGGGAGCCTGACGTGCTGGGAGAGAAACCGGTATGTTGGGATTTACTTGTTTCTACCTTTATGTTTGTTCATCTTTACCCTTGAAAATAACACTTCTCAGCATGCTAGGCACAGAACTTCTAATTTTCTCAAAGTGTGTAAAAGATTTTTTTCAAATTGAAATATAATTCCTAATGCAATGTAGTAACTAAGATATTATCCTGTCTTCAAGAATATATGATATAGAGATTAGGTAGAAAACTTTGAGAAATTAATTTTGGTATTACTTATTGGGGTGTGTGTTATATATATACATATATATATATATATACACACACACACATATATATGTGTATATTGGGGGATTGGGGTGGTGGGAGGTGTGGACCACAACTGGCTGTGCTCCGGGCTTACACCTGGTTGTGTGCTCAGGGCTTACACCTGGCTGTACACTCCACTCAGGGATCACTCCTGGTAGTCTTGAGTGATAACTACCACTACTACTACTACTAATCATATTGGGTACCCAGAGTCAAACTGGGATGGGCAAGAGGAAGGCAAGCACTTTATCCAGAGTACTGGCTCCAGCTCAGTAGATATATATTTTTTTTATTTTAAACATGTAAAGATTTAATAAAATTTAATAAAATTCATTGAGATAATTGCTATTCTTGAATAACTACTGAATCAATAAATGAAAGGGAAATTTTTTTAAATGCCCCAAGGCCAATGAAAATGATCTTTTTTTTTTTTTTTAATTAGTGAAACACCATGAAGTACAGTCGTAGACTTACAGATTTTTGTGCTTGGGTCCCAGTTATACAATGATCAAGTACCCATCCTTCCACCAGTGCCCATTCTCCACCCCCACCAATCCCAGTATCCCTCCCCCCCCATCCTCCCATCCCACCCTGCCTCTGTGGCAGGGCACTCCCTTTTGTTCTCTGTCTCCTTTTGGGTACTGTGGTTTGCAAAAGAGGCACTGGGTGGCAATCATGTTCGGTCTATAGTCTACTTTCAGCATGCATCTCTTATCCTGGGCGGATCAGTATATATATGTTTAATAACAAAAGCTCCTCTTAAAACTATTCATTGTAACTGCTACTGATTTTACTTGAAAGAATGGAATCATAGACATTTCAGATACACTGAAATGCTCTTATGAATAAAGATTGTTGATTATATGGGCTGGAAGATGAGTTTGGAGGACATGCTTTGCATGCGGGAGGCCCTGATTTGATCTCTGACACTCTATCATTGATCACTTGTGTACCACTCAGGAGGGACCTGAGAGCAGTGAGCCAGGAGTAGCTACCATGCAGTCTGGGCTACCCAAAATACCTAATCAAACAAACCAACAGCTAAAAAAATCCTATTATCAAGAAAAAGATTGCTGATACTAGTATGTGAATATTTGCTTTAGAATACTTCATTATTTGTATATTTTCAAAATATATGAAACAAGATTGACCATGTGTTGATAATTACTATGTGTCACAGGTACAAGGGGATTCGTTTTACTCTGACTTTAGTCTGACAAGACTATGTTTCATGTAGTTACTTTTGACTAAAGACATAATTATAGGGGGAAAAATTAGCACAGTAGAAATATCCCTAAGGTGTATTGAAATATTATAGAAAAATAGAATTTGAATGGTTATGTCTAGGAAGCATATTACACTACAGAGAAATCCATGCCATATAACTCCAGTGCCAAGTTAACAATCTTTATTTCCTGTTTGAGAGCCCTGCCCACCCCAAGGGACCCAGCCCTGGCAGTCAACCTCGACTACCCAACCACTGCCACGCTCCAAGCCGCTTTCTGGACCTTTGCTGCCACGCGACACATTATAAGACACTTCCTACCCATTTTCGACAATTACTACACCATATCTGATGGGGTTCAGACAGTAGGCAACAGGTCATAGAGAAAAATATATAAATATATGCCTCTTGGCGATCCCAGCGAGCTACTGAGAATATCCTGCCTGCACGGGCAGAGCCTGGCAAGCTCCCTGTGGCATATTCAATTTGCCAAATACAGTAACGACAACAGGTCTCATTCCCCTGACCCTGAAAGAGCTTCCAATCGTTGGAAAAAGATGAGTAAAAGGAGACTGCTAAAATCTCAGGGCTGGGAGGAATAGAGACGTTACTGGTGCCTGCTCGAGTAATTTGAAGATCAATGGGATGACAGTGATACAGTGATACTTCCTGTTTAGTTTCTTTTTGCTTCGTTTAAATTTACTTCAGTTTTATATGAATGAAAAATTGTGTACTTGACTTAACTCCCATCTCCAGCAACTGTGAATGTAGGTAACCTTGGAAAAATTAGTTCATCTATTTAGGGTAAAGGGCCTTTATTTCATGAAGAGCAGTATTTTATAAAATTCTGAGAACTAAATGATGTGATACGTAAAAAGCCTTAGAACACTCCTCAGGGGCCAGAGACATAGTAAGGTGCATAAGACATTTACCCTTCACATGGCCAACCCAAGTTTGATCCCTGGCATCTCATATAGTCCCCCAAGCACTGCCAGGATGCAAATCCTCAAACACAGAGTAACCTCTGAGCATCTCCAGGTGAGGCCCAAAAGCCCAGTTCCATCCTCCCGATCCCTCAAAAAAATACTGTTCAGTATGTGGTAAGAATTCAATTTTTAGTTATTTCTCACAAGGCCTTAGTTCTATAGAGTATTGAATCATGGAGTTGGGAGTAACCATTAGAAATTATTTAATCATAAGGCTGCTGAGTTGTAAGACTCCTAAGACAGGGCTGGAGAGATAGTACAGTGATCTCCTGTGCCACAGAGGGGTCTCTGGGACCTGCCGGGAGGGATCCCTGAGTGCAGAGCCAGGAGCCAGCCCTCAGCACCACCCCGAAAGACAAAACTAAGCCAAACTTCTATGACAGGTAATTGGAAGAACCACGGCGTCCTCAGTAGTGGGTCTTACTTCCTGCCTTTTATTGTATCTGTCTTGCTCGGAGAAAGCTCATTAACCATAGTGCTTCTTCACAGCTATAGATTCTACAGAACCCTGGGCTCATTCCTTGCCACCACAAGGTTCCCCCAGCACTAGTTGTTGACTCTAAGCGCTGCCAAGCGTGGTCCCAGAACAAACAAACAAACAAACAAAAATGCTCACTTTGTCCCAGGTAATGTGGTTATGTGGTGGACTTAAAGCCTTGCTTATGGTCCCTGCTTCTGAGGAGCCAGCCTCTTAATGGGCAGTGGGGATTAAATAGGTGCAAATGAAGAGATTCTAGTGAAAAGGAATAAAGCAGAGTCATGTGCTAAAAAGCTGGAGACTACTTACATAAGAGCCTTTCAGAAAGCGAAGGCTGCAGGGGGCCAGAGTACATGCTTTGTATGCAGGAGACCCACATCATAAACCAGAAAGGAAAAAGGAAGAAAGGTTCCACTGAGCTGTTAAGTGACCTAAAAAGGCACCTTTTGGGAAGAGCCTGCAAATAACCTTCCTCCTAAAGGCTCTGATTTTTCTCTCCTCTCTCCCTTAAACTGCTGGGTCTTTCTCCCAACAAATGCTGTTTTCTCTTATTTCAGTTGATTTGTTTCCCTTGTTCAAACCCTTTCCAGTTTTTCCCTCATATTTGTTGTGGTAAGCGAGTTTGATTTCCACATTCTACTCGGGATTTCACTGATGCATATCAAGGAAGAATTTGTCATTCACCATCTTGTGTTATGTGTCTTTCCAACATTTCCTGTATAACACTGCATGGTTGGTTCATGGCTTTGTGGTCATAGATTTCCAGGGTTTCTTTCACTGTACTTGTGCCTGCGTTTATCCCCTCCACCCCCAACACCTCTTTTCTGGCATTTGTGTTACTGTCTGGCTTTTTGTTTTTGTTTCTTTGTTTTGCCCTTAGTTGTTTGGCATTATAGTGTCTCTATTAAACATTTATCTGCTCTTAAAATCATTCCTTCAGTTAATCATGGATAGTTAATTTTTGTTGTTGTTTTTGGGTCACATCTGGTGATGCTCAGGGGTTACTCCTGGCTCTGCACTCAGGAATTCCTCCTGGCGCTGCTCGATGGACCACCTGGAATAACAAGGATCAAACCCAGGTGGGCCACATGTAAGGCAAACGCCCTACCTACTGTATTATCGCTCACCTCAGAGAGTTGATATATTTTATACCCACTTCTGGTACATTAATAATTCTTCATCCTTTCGATTTTTTTTTGCCACTTTGACAAATTTACTGTCAAATTTGTCAAATTTGACAAATTACTTTTTTTTTTTTGACCACAGCCAGCAGTGCTCAGGGATCATTCCTGGTGGGACTCAGGAACCAGGTGGAGTGCTTGAGGTTGAATCAGGTCATAGCCATTGTGGCAAGTCCTTCCCTCCTGTAGTACCACTCCAGCTAAATGTTTTCTTTGTAAGTCATTTGCTTTTATTGTGGTTAAGAATAGGTTTGGTACTCACTTTCCTGGACTCTCACTGCTTATTTACCTGTTTCGTGATTTGAGTAATAAAGTTCTCTGGGCTTTGCTGTCCCTATCTGTTAAAAAAGATGTCAATAGGGTAAACAGTCATCCTCATTTGTAAAGATGAGTCACAACTGGCTTCCCAAGGGTGGGCTCAGTGGTGTGAAGCATTTGCCTTGCAGGCAGGAGGCCTGGGCTCAGTCCAGGGTTCTGCCCGCATATATGACTCTGTTCTCATTGGCTCTGCTATGGGGACCTCAAACACAATAGTCCTCAAACCACTGCAGCCAACTCTGAGAGAGCTTGTATAAAGAGTATATAAAGACGTTTTTATGGTTAATTAAAAATGTAGCTGGCCAGAGAGGTAGGACAGTGGGTAAGGCATTTGCCATGCACATAGCTGACCCAGGTTTTATCCCCAGATGCACCTGTGACCCCTTAAAACCACCAGAAGTGACCCTGAGCTCAAAACCTGAGCACAGCCACCTGTGGCTCCCATACCAACCAAACAAACAGACAAACAAAACAGGAGGGGCTGGAGAGACAGTCCAGGAGGTCGGGCTTTGACCTTGCAGCTGCTTGATCACAGCTGTGATT